CCTGTCCGGATCAGCCAGCCTGGATGGCCTCAGGCTCGCGTGTCTGCCAGGCACCGATGCCATGGAGGCCCAGCGTGCACCAGGCATCCATCATCCACCAAAAACCCCATTTTGGCACCACAGGGATGCCACAGCCCCCGCCCCGCTCACCATTGACCGTGAGGTGGACCCAGCTGCCGTTGTGGAAGGTGTCGTACTGCTGGTCCAGCATGAGCACTTTGCACTCGTACCAGCCCTGGTCCTCGGAGCGCACCTGCTCAATGCGCAGGGAGGCTTTGTCGTGCAGGCTGGCCCGGCCTGGGGGAGAGCACAGCGTTGGCAGCATGTCCCCAGCACTGGAGCAGCCCCCAGAGCACCACTATGGGGAGAAACATCCCAAACTGGTGCAGCCCCCAGAGCATCACTGGGGAATAAACAATCCCAAAGTGGTGCAACCCCCAGAGCATCAGTGTGGGGAATAAACCATCCCAAACTGGTGCAGCCCCCAGAGCACCACTGTGGGGAATAAACCATCCCAAACTGGTGCAGCCCCCAGAGCATCACTGGGGAAAAAACCATCCCAAACTGGTGCAGCCCCCAGAGCATCACTGTGGGGAGAAACCATCCCAAACTGGTGCAGCCCCCAGAGCATCACTGCAGGTGACACCCCATCCCAAACTGGTGCAGCTCCCAGAGCATCACTGGGGGAGAAACCATCCCAAATTGGTGCAGCTCCCAGAGCCTGGCCACAAGGGACACCCCATCCTCACACCAGAGCAGCGCCCAAAGCATCACTGCAGGGGCCACCCCATCCCAAACTGGAGCAGCCCCCAGAGCATCATTGCAGGGGACACCCCCATCCTGACACCAGAGCAACCCCCCAGAACGTCACCATAGGGGACACCCCATCCCTGTGTGGGCACTGTCCCGGTTTGGGGCTGGCTGAGCCCCACGCTGTGGTTGCAGCCGGTGGTGCCAGGCCGGTGACACACTCACCCATCTGGGGGTGGCAGAGCCAAGCTGCCAGGGCCGGGCAAGGTGCCTGGAGCAATGTCTGCCTGCAGTGACACCGGCCTTCTGCTCCCAGCCGGGGGCTGGCGGCGGCACAGCCGGCACACGGGCGTGCCCCAAAGCTTTTCCCCGCCTGGGAGACTCCCAGAAAGCAGGGCAGCCCTGAGCTGACCCTGTGCACAGCCCCAAAAACTGGGTCAGGAGCAAAACAACCTCAACCTCCACCTTGGTGCAGTGGCCACCAGGCTGTGGGATCGCTTATGGCCGAGCTGAGTTTGGCAGGGCTCAGCTGGTGCATCATCCCTGCTGCTGCATTTCTTAGAGAGCAATTTGGGCAGACCCATAAGACCCAGGGAAGGTTCCCAGGACAGCATTCCACAGGGAAAGAGTTACCACAACAGGTCTGTCCTGCCACACCAACCTTCCAGGAGCTGGTTTCCAGCTCACACATCCCACCAGAGGACACCGGCCACGTGTCGCAGGCAGCACACAGGCAAGCAGCCACACCAGTTCTGCAGCTCCAACCTGTCACCTCCACCCAGCACGTGGCCCTGGCTCCATCCCCACTGTCACTGTCCCCCCAGCACCCCTCCCTGGGCTCACAGCTGCTCTGGGGTGCAGCAGCAGCAGCAGCAGCCACCGCCACCACACATCACCCTGGGTTTCTCTGCCTCGCTTGCTCCCATCCCACGCAGCCCAGCTGGCTTCCTAACGCTGCTGCTTAATTAAAACCAACTGGGTGGAAAGCGAGCACCGAGAGGCAGAGCCCGCGTGGTTTCCGACGGAGGAACGGATGGAGCGGAGCTGCGCGTCCCGGGCCGTGCCCAGCCGGGACCTGGCACCCTCCCCTCGCCCCCCTGCGCCCCCAGGACTCACCGGCATACTCTGGGTCGACATGGGGAGGGTAAAACCCAAACTTGATGAAGATGGGGATGGGGACGCCGAACTTGAACCACTCCACGACATAGGGAGGGGGCTGTCCCGTGAGCGGGTGGATCACGTCGCATCCCAGGATCACGCTCTCGCCAGCGCGAGCGGTCACGAACTCGGGCTCCTCCCTCGAGCCGAGGGCACCTGCGAGGGGGCGAAGGAAGAATCTGTGGCTGATCCCACTGCTGGTCCCCAGCATTGACCCAGGATGCCCAGAAGAGCAACAGCAGTAGTAATGCCCATCCCCAGCCAGCTGTCTCCAACAAGGGCAGCCCGTGCGTCACCCTTGCCCCAAAAACAACAGGGGGTCCCAACTCCTTACACTCAGCTCCAAGGCCACCCTGAGCTACCACAGGAGTCAGGACAGTGGCCATCAGCACCCCAGTGCTCCAGGACAGCTTCCCAACCTCTGCACCAGTGCAAAGGTGATGCCCACAGGGGTTTTGGGGACCCCTGCTCTCAGCAGAGGGGCACAGAGTACGCCTAGCACTGCTCCCCACATAGCACCACCATCTGGGCTCCCCTCTATCCTTGTGGCATGGAAAAGGCTGCTTTTAGCACATGGCCCTGCACCCTCCAGCAGGCAGGACTGGGCATGCAGGGACCCCTGGCCACAGCTCTGCCGTGCCAGCCCACAGACCCAGCTCTCCCACCGGAGCCAGGGTGGGCTGGGCCCCCGGAGCCGCCACGCTCCAGCCAAGCCCGCATGTCCTCGGGCATCCCCGAGAGCCCCAAGCCTGAAATGCGGGTCTGTCACCCTGCTCCTCCCAGCTGGCTAATTACAGGGGGCTTTGGTCTCAGCTCCCAGGCTGCTCCACCCCGGCTGTGCCGCCCCGCTCGCTGCAGCCTGGCGTCATCCTGCTCTGCCAGCAGCAGCAAAGCTGCATCCTCAGCACGGCGTCCAGAGAGGGAGAGAGAGGGAAACCCAGGGCTGGGGGGAAGCCAAACAGGGGGTCCCCAAAACCAGGTTTAGACCCACATCGCCCTCCCCATCAAGGAAGGGCCCCCGTTTTCCAGGCACACGCGGGCTGTTCTGGGGGGGATGCTCGGGGAGGGATGCTCGGGGAAGCACGTTCCCACTCCTCCGCGCTGCTCCTCGGGGCCGCCGGTGATTGGCGGCGAGTGACATCACCGCTTCCCCGCCGCGGGAGCCGAGCATCACCGAGCATCACCGGCTATTTTTGGCTCCGGCACAAGCGCGTACCGGCGAGAGGCCCGTGATGTGCCACCCCACGGGGCCACCAGCCCAGTGTCCCCGCGGGAAGGGCAGCGGGCAGAGCTGGCCGCCGCTCGCACATGGCACGCACAAGGCGTGTCCCCGCAGCGGGTCACAGCCCGGGGGTCACCCAAGCCCCCACGCCACCAGCAAACTGGGCACGGGTGGCTCTTTAACTGGGAGGGCTGGCTGGTGGCAGCGGGGTGGGTGACGCCGGGGTGCAGCGCTGGGAGCCATCTGCAAGGAGCAGATGCTGCATTGCACACCCACTGCAGGCACCCGGCCCTGCAGAGCTGGGGGTCCTGCAGAGCCCGGGGGTCCTGCAGAGCCGGGGGTCCTGCAGAGCCGGGGGTCCTGCAGAGACGGGGGGTCCTGCAGAGCCCGGGGGTCCTGCAGAGACGGGGGTCCTGCAGAGACGGGGGTCCTGCAGAGACGGGGGACCTGCAGAGCCGGGGGTCCTGCAGGGCTGGGGGGTCCTGCAGAGCCGGGGGGTCCTGCAGAGCCGGGGGGTCCTGCAGGGCCGGGGGGTCCTGCAGAGCTGGGGGTCCCGCAGAGCTGGGGGGTCCTGCAGAGCTGGGGGGTCCTGCAGAGACGGGGGACCTGCAGAGACGGGGGGTCCTGCAGAACTGGGGGGTCCTGCAGAGCTGGGGGGTCCTGCAGGGCTGGGGGGTCCTGCAGAGACGGGGGACCTGCAGAGACGGGGGGTCCTGCAGAGATGGGGGACCTGCAGAGCCGGGGGGACCTGCAGAGACGGGGGGTCCTGCACGGCCACGGACCCGCCCGGACCGCAGCGGGGCGGGGGGACGGCTGAGCACACACGTGCGGTGTGCTCGCACACCCCCGCACACGCTTCGCACCGCCTCGACAACGCTCCTGCACCTCTCCATCCCTCCTTAGCGCCGCATCGCCGATGAGCTCCCGTTCGCAGCCTGTCAGCAGGGACGCCACCAGCCCTCCCCTGCCACCCCGGCACCGAGCTGGGAGAAGCCGGCCTGACCCCTGCAGCCGGCAGGGTGAGGGGGGTGCGCTGCGGCGATGGAGCCCCCCTCCCTGCCCCCGTCGCTGCCCGTGGTCCTGCTGATCCTGCGCTGATCGGGGACGGAGCTGTCACATGCTGCTCAAGAGCATCCAAGGACGCGCCTCCCCGGCCGCCTCGCCCGAGCGAGCAGGTCCCCAGCACCTCGTCACCTTCAAAGCGACACCTCCACCCACCAGCAGGAGAAGAAGGAAGCGGCAGCACCCAAACCCCTTTCCCAAGCCCCCCACCCGCTCCAGCGCTCCAGCTCCTGGGCTACCAAGAGGGAATCTTGGTCTCCAGCACCTCTCCACCAACTGGAGCCTGGAATGCTGGTGTTTGCCCAGCTGGAGCAAGCCCGCTGCCCAAGAGGCCACCCTGGGGATGGGTGCCAGGGAGTCACACTATGCCAGGATCCTCTGACTGAGCAGTGGGTGACGTCCCCGGGGAGGGGACGAGCCAGCCGCTCCGCCGGACCCACGCCTGGCCGGGGCTGCCCGGGCGCAGGAAAATAGGTCATGCCGGCAGCTCGCAGCGCCGGTGTCTGATCGCAAGGCCGGTGGGGAATTGCACGCACGGCTGAGCATCACCTCCCCAGCGCACGGCCGACTGGCAGTCCCGGCAGAGAACCGGCCCCCGGCTCTCCCCAGCTGCCACCCGCCCCACCACCGGCCCCGTGCCCTCCTGTCCCCACCTCCAGAGCGCCAGGAAGGCAATGGGGAGATGTCTCACAGACCCTCTTTGGGTCTCCTCAGCTTCCCAACCCACCAACCCTGCAGGGTCCCAACCCTGACCAGGTTTTCCTTCCAAGTCCAGACCATGAAGAAAGCGAGCAATGGAGACTGCAGCTCTCGATTCAAAGTGTTTTCTCACCCCCACATTTGTAGGGAAACGCTTGAAAACAACCCGCAGACGCCAGAAGAAACAGAGCACAAATAGACAGGGTATTTTTAAACCCACTTGATTTTCCCAGCCAAGTTCAGAGAGGTTTCAAGGCTGAATCTGCGGTTTGGAAACGGGGTCAACATCAGGGAACGGCAGCACCGAGGTGAACCCCAAATCCGCCTCGCTGCAGGAGCTCACGTGAAGCTGGGGGATGCCTCGTAAAGAAAAACAAGTAATCAACAGGCTTCGTCATCCAAGCAGATCCAGGAAAAATAAAAGCACGCCGCGTGCCAGGAGGCAAGAATACAAGATGCGGAGGTGGAGTTGAACAGCATCCCAAAGGGAGAGGAGGGAAGGCTGCCGCCACCGAGACGGTGCCACCGCGGGACTTCCCAGGATGGCGATGCCAAGGATGGGGAGACCCTCACCTGGATCTGGGCATCCAGCTCCTCTGATCCCAAGGGCAGAGGTGGAAGGTGCTCCAGGACTCGGTGAGGCTGAAGGCATCTCTGCTGAAGCAGGACCCTTCCTGCAGGTGCTTTGGGAGAAGGACACGGCCATGGCAGAGAGGTTTCCAAAGGCATGGATGCCTGGGAAGGCTTCCCCTCCTGCCACAGCGGACACCCATGCCCTGGGGCAGAGAGGGCATCCCGTCCTGACCCGCCATGGCATTGCAGCCTGCTAACAGAGGCCCCACTATCCATTTCCAGCACTGCCCCACACCCCTGGCACTCATCCCCACCCCTGTGCCCCCACGGGGACGGCTGAGGGAGCAGGCACAGGGCCCGGAGCCTGGGGACCTCTCCTCCCTGGTGAGCCCAGACGAGATGTGCTCTGACACATCCCGCTCCCGTCGGTGGAGGCGGGATATGGCAGGGATCTCTGAGGACAAGGCCACCAGCGTGGCATATGGAGGCCAGCAGGGAAGGAGAGCAGGCAGCCATCGCCATGAAATGAAGATGGGGGGAGACTGCAGCCCGGGGTGGGGGGCAGGGACAGCATGCTGCAGGGACCCCAACTGCCAGGGCAGGGTGTGGGGTGCCGGGAGATCGCCTGTGCCCCACCTCTGTAGCCCCCCAAATATCTCAGTGGGGGTTGCACTCCCCATTACAAACCCAGTCCCTTTGGCTATCTTGGGGTATGCAGAGCCCCCCAAAAGCACTGCCTGTTCCCCGGTGGGGAGAAGCCCTGGGGCTGGGAGCACAGCCCTCACCCCCTCCCCCAGCTGGAAAGCAGCATCTGGGCTTTCAGTGCGATTCCTGCGTTTTAAACCCGATTTTCCAGATGGATGGAGGGCGATGCGCAGGTCAAGTGACATGCCTCAAGGTCACACGGGGCCAGGGAGGAGAAGGATTAGCAGCTCTGAGGGGTGGCTTGGTGCCCCATTCCCAGCGAGATGGAGACTCAGAACCCCATTCCTGGGCTCAAAGGGTGTCCTGTGGAGCCATCACCACTCTCCCCAGGCAGGCAGACAGCTGCCCTGGCATCCCAAAGGGGATGCATGCATGGATGCTGCCCCACAGCAGCCCCGCTGCAGGTCCTTGCTCCCTGGAATGGCACAGGTGGGAATGTGTCTGGCTGGGCAGCGGCTCAGCAAGCACATGGGAGAACAGGTTGGTGCTCTGAGAGGCACAGAGATGGAGCAGGAAAGAAAATGACTTCCCTGAGGGTCCCTTGTGCCCTCTCCCTCTAATCGCCACCAGCCCCGCGTTGAGCATCCGGTGTTGGCAGCTGCCTCGTGGGAGGAATCATCTCCCAGCAACGACCAGCAGCTACCTGTGTCCTCTCCGTGAGCTTCCTCCACGCACCATGGGGACAAACAAGCAGCTGTGGTGGGAGCTGGAGCACCAAACCCATCCCAGAAGAGACCTCCAGCATCTGGAGAGTGCTGCCCAGGTACTGTGCCCCCAGTCCAGCCCCACATCACACCAGGCTGGCACCACCCTCCCCAGGGAGCAGTGGGTACCATCCCAGCGCATTCACAGCCCTCCAGCAGGAAACTGGGATGCAGGCAGCGCTCGGAGCTGCCCGCCAGCAGCTCCTGAATCACGCTGTTCCTGGCTCAGGCAGCCCTCCCACCAACGCCAGCCTCTCCACGGAGGAGCGGGAGGAAGCGAGCTGTTTTTCCAAAGGCCAGCTGGTCGCTCAGGGCTCCCAGCTCGGGAGATTCCTACCGCAGGGAAAGGGACAGGGAAGGACTCCTCCATCGGCACGGCATGGGGCTGGACCCACTGCCTGCCCCTCTGCAGGGCTTCTCATCCAGCACGAAGGCACCACCTCCAAGACAGAGGACCAGAGGTGAATGGGAGCTGGGCCACCATGCCACAGCTCTGGAGAGGAACTTGCAGGGCTCACATCTCCAGCAAAGCTGCATCTTCCAAGTCAAAAGGCGACTGAGCCAGCAGAGCATCACCACAAGGACCCTCCGGCAAGCCAAGTCACCGACCGAGCCGCTCGCGTCCCTCCCTGCCCGCTCACTCCCATCCAACAGGTCCAGAGGAGCAGAAAACCTCCGGGGAATGATGGAAATGGGAGCCCGGCCAACGCCCTTGGCTGTTCCTGGAGCCAAACCATCCCCTTGCCAGGAAAGAGCGGGGCCAAAGTTGCACGTGCCAAATCCTCAGCTCCCGGTCCAGACTCCTCCACGGCCAAAGAGGCAAAACCCAAGAGTTCTGCACCGCCAGTGAGCAGGGGAGACAGCGCTGGCACTGCCACCCCGAGCCACTCCAACCGGCCAAGGGCAGCGCCAGGAGCATCGCCCACCACGGTGCCCAGGGAACATCTTCAACAGAGCCGAATCCTCCCTCTGCAAATCCTCCTGCCAGATCCACGAGCATCCCCACTCCCTGCGTGCTGCCACGGCGTCACGCTCGTGGGAGAGGGAGGAAAAGCCCCTCGGTGTGACGGCACTGCTGGGAATGCCAGGAGGCCGGATCCTTCCTCTGACACCCACTCCTGGCGCGGGCACGTCCTGCCTCTCCTCCCCCATGCCATAAGAGGGGATAACGCATCCTCCTTCCCTCTCTGAGCCGATTAACGCCTGGAAAGGCCTTGGAGACCAGGCAAGAAGGCTGCCCAGGGCCAGCACCGCTGCTCCTCAGCCCGGCAAGGAGGAAGCGGTGTGGGAGGAAGGCCACGGCAAGAGGAAAAGCCCCAGCGAGGGCACCGGCACATGGTGAGCCCCAGCTCTCCTCCGAAGCTCTGTCCCCAAGCAATGCGGGGTGACAAGTCCCCCTGAGGACGGGACAGTGCTGGTACCAAAGGGCTGCAGCAGCTGGAGGAGCCCCGTGGGCTCCGTGCCCCTGCGGGGGCTGTGCCGGCCCGCATCACCCCACCCCCGGCACCCACCCACGCATTACTCACGGCACGCTCATTCAGCACCTACACGCTGCTCCACATGCACGGCACCCCCGTGCCGGGGCTTCCCGGCACCCACCCACCCCGGCACCGCTTCCGGAGCTCCATCCGAGCGGCTCCAGGGTATTTCCAAGTTCCCAGGTGCCGAACGCGCTGCTCTGCTCCTCTCCCCGGCGGAGCATCCCCGTACAAGCAGCTGCTGCAAACACTGCCTCACCACACTGCAGCACGCAGTTCAGGCAGGCAGCAGCCGGCCACGGCTCAGTGAGAGGGGCTGCGTACCCCCAAAATGGGCAGCCCCATCCCGAACCCCCCGAAAGCACAGCCCCGTCCTGACACACACCCCCCTGCCTCCAGGAGCCGCCTGCCAGGCGAGGAGGACAAGGGACAGTGGCATGGCACAGATGTCACCCAGTGGGCTCGAGCAGCGCTGTGAATTGGGGGAGCTGCAGCACCCCCCTGCCCCCCCCAGCCCACCCGTGCCCCCCGAGGCAGCGTCCCCCACGCCGCGGGGAGGGGAGAGGCGGTGGCTGCCAGCCAGGCATCGCTTGCTGCCGGCAGCCAGCGCATCCCCATGGGCAGGGTGGGTGACCCCCCGAGCACAGCTCCAGGGTCTCATCCCGAGTAAGGACCACCGGGACGCAGGGAAAACCATGTGCCCAGTGAGGAGCCAGCGGCAGGGATGGGGAACGCTGCTGCACCAGCGGCAGGCAGCTCCCCTCTACCTGCAGGGATGGCTCGGAGGGGTGGAAGGAGGCGGCAGCTGAAGGGAAAGAAGCTAGAGCAGGAAAATCAGGGTTATTCCTTGCTGCCGTCTCCGTCCTGACCTTGGACAACCCTGTGCCTCAGTTTACCACAGCACAGCAGCCAGTCTGCAGTGGGGGGAGAAGGAGGGCAGCCTCTCCTGGGCGGGGGGGTGGGAGCAAAGTCACCCCCAAACCCGCAGCCGGGGCGCTGCAGGGGAAGGCGACGAATCCCTCCTGCATTTCTCCTTGCCCAGCCGGGCTACCCTTGCAGGGAAGGGCAAACGCTGCCCGCACCCCCCGGAGCTGCCGCAGGCGCTTCCTCAGGATGAGAGAAGAAACCCGAATGCGGAGAAAAGCTTGCCCATCCCTGATCAACGGGGACACTCGGGCAGCCGCGCTCCCTCCCCGCCAGGACCCGCACCCGCTCGCCTTCTCCCACAGGGAATTTCCAACCCCTGGGCAGAGGCTCCGCCGCACCGGGAGCGCGGCTCCCCGAACTTCCCCAGCTGCAGCCGCTGCCCTCGGGGAGGTCACGGCCAGCCCCGCCGAGCCTGCGGAGGGAGGAGGATGCGCCGGGCGCTCCCGGCTCCCCCCGGCAGCGGGGGATGAAGGAATCGCCAGCGCCCCGCCGCAGCGGGAAGCGCTCGGTCCCCGCACCGGCAGCGGGGAAGACGCGAACCCCGCAAACCCCCTTGGCAGCCGCAGTTCCCCCTCCTCCCCTCCTCCGCAGCCCCTTCCCGGTACCCTCTCCCCGGGACGTGATGCCCCCCTCGGTGCGCGCATCCCTCCCGGTCCATGCGCATCCCCCCCGCCGCATCCGGTACACCGGGAGAAGGAGGGGGAGGAATGAACACGCAAAGGCGGCCTCGCCACCGCCCCGCAACCCCGGCGGAGAACACCCCGCGGCCGCACTCACCTTGGACGGGCAGCCCGCGGGCGCCGAGCACACTTGCTACCAAAGCGGCCACATACCAAATCATAGTACTACCGGCCCCCGGTGCGCAGCATCTTCCGCCCGCCGGGCGGCCCGGCCGGGGCGGGGCGGGGCCGGGGCGGGCTGGCCGTGGCCGGGCAGGGCTCGGCGGGGCTGGCGGGGCCGGAGGGGCGGCTCAGGGCCGGCCGCCCGCCGCTGCGCCCATGCCCGCGCCCATCGCCGCGCCGCACCTGCGCTCCGCCGCGCGGTGCAGCCAAGCCTGCGCCCTTTAGCGGCTCGGCCCCGCCCCCGCCCGCCGCCCATTGGCCGCGCCCCGGCGGAGTGGGCGGTGATTGGCCGCCGCCGCGGCCCGGGCCGGTTCAAGGTGGGTTGGCGCGCACGGGGCCGCGGCGCCGCAGTATCATGCGCACTGCCGGGAGCGGCGCGGTCACCTCCGCCGGACGGTCACCTCCCCGCACGGACACCGCGCCCCCGCTGCCGCCTGCCCGCGCCCCGGTGTGCCCCCGCCACACCTCAGTGTCCCCTCCACGTCCCCGGGTGTGCCGCCGAAGCGGATCGCTGTTTCTAGCTGTGCCCCTGCACCGGCACGGTGTCACCTCCCTGTCCCCAGATGTGCGCTGGAGCGGTACAGTGTCACCTCCTGGTGTCTAGGAGTGCCCCTGCACCGGCTCGGTGCCACCTCCCCGTCCCCGGGTGTGCCGCCGAAGCGGATCGCTGTTTCTAGCTGTGCCCCTGCACCGGTACGGTGTCACCTTCCTGTCCCCAGATGTGTCACTGCACCTACTCAGTGTCACCTCCCTGTCCCCAGATGTGCCCCGGACCGGTACAGTGTCACCTCCTGGTATCTAGGAGTGCCCCTGCACCAGCTCGGTGCCACCTCCCCGTCCCCAGATGTGTCACCACCTACTCAGTGTCACCTCTCTGTGCCCAGATGTGCACTGGAGCGGTACAGTGTCACCTCCTTGTGTCTAGGAGTGCCCCTGCACCGGCTCGGGGCCACCTCCCCATCCCCAGATGTGTCACCGAACGGGATCACGGTCTCTAGCTGTGCCCCTGCACCGGGACGGTGTCACCTTCCTGTGCCCAGATGTGTCACCGAATGGGATCACGGTCTCTAGCTGTGCCCCTGCTGTGCCCCTGCACCGGGACGGTGTCACCTTCCTGTCCCCAGATGTGCCCCGGACCGGTACAGTGTCACCTCCTGGTGTCTAGAAGTGCCCCTGCACCAGCTCGGTGCCACCTCCCCATCCCCAGATGTGTCACTGCACCTACTCAGTGTCACCTCCCTGTCCCCAGATGAATCGCTGCACCAGATCGGTGCCACCTCCTCGTCCACAGATGTGCCCCCTGCAGCAGGTCGGTGCCACCTCCTCACCCCCAAATGTGTCACTGCACTGTTTAAGTGTCATCTCCCTGTCCACAGATGTGTCACCGCACCTACTCAGTGCCACCTGCCTGTCCCCAGATGTGTCACCACACCAGCTCAGTGCCACCTCCCCATCCCCAGAGGGACCCCTGCACTGGTACACTGTGTCCAGATGTGCCCCTGTACCAGCTCAGTGCCACCTCCCCATCCACAGATGTGCCCCTGCACCGAGTCATTATCACCTCCCTATCCCCAAATGAAGTCACAGCACCTACTCACTGTTCCCTCCTTGTCTCCAGGAGTATCCCTGCCTTGGTGCAACATCCCCTTCCTGCCTCCAGTCCAGATGTGTCCCCTACACCAGCTCAGCATCACTTTCAGCTCAGTGTCACTCCCTGTCCCCAGATGCATTCTCTGCACCAGCTCAGCATTACATTCCTGCCCCCAGCGGTGCCCCTGCACAGCCTTAGTGTCACCTCCCTGTCTCTGCATGTGCCCCCTACACCAGCTCAGCATCGCCCTGGTGCAGTGTCACCTCCCTGGCCCCAGCTGCCACCTGCCCCTGCTGCCATACACAGCTTCTCTGACATGCCAGTGACATCTGTGACTAGGCAGGGTCACCTCCCTACCGCAGGCTGAGCCACCTGCCCCCTGCACCAGCTCCACATCAGCTGTGCCATCTGTCCCTGCCACCCTGCACCACCTCAGGGTCACCTCCCTGCCAGCTGCTTGGTGCCACTGCAGCCCTGTACCGCACATCAGCTCAGGGTAACACAGCTGCCACCATCTGTGCCCTGCCCAGGCTCATTGCCCCACCAGCCTGGGACAGACGTGTCACCTGCCCCCTGCACCAGCTTGCTGTCACCTCTGCCAGGACCCTGCACCGCTCAGTCACCTCATTGCCACCACCACGGCTTCGTGTCACATTCACCTGGCACCGGCTCAGTGCCACTGTCACCTCTAGCACCAGCTGTGCCACCTCCTCCTGCCATTGCACCACCTGTGCCACCTCCCCTGCCCCTGCTCCACTCCATTTGCCCACTGTGACTGCTCCTTGTCCCCTGCTGGGCACAGCCCACTTGACAAGAGAGAATTGGGGTTCATTTCAATGGAAAATGGGCAGAAAACAGCCAGTGCCCCCGTGCTCTGAGCCCACCCATCCTCCCTGCAAAGACCTGGCGATGCCAGATGGGCAAACAGCCGGGCTGGCTCCCCCAGGAGCGTGCCAGCCATGGAAAACGGGCCACTGAACTTCCCCTAGATGACAGCCAGCCCGGGAGGGGACAGGCTCACACGCAGAGGGGGACACATCGTTTTGTCCCCAGCACTCCCTGTCTTCCCCTTGCCCATTGGAAGAGGTCTGAGCAGCTGCTCTTCCCACCTCTTCCCATGCACGTTCAGGAAAGAAGCAAAAAAATATAAAATAAAATAAAATAAAAACCCAACTCTTGCAGAGGATGTGGGAGTTGGAGAAACATCCCACAGCTTCTGCCTGGAATTCCATTCCTGGAGGATCAGATGTTGGCAAGGCCCTAGGCAGGAGGCAAGAGCATCCCCCAGCCCAGCCCCAGCTCACGCGAGCTCCCGGGCACACTTTGCTTCCCCAGCAGATTCCCAGACCTCATAAAAGCCTGACTCAGCTCCTAGTGCTGAGGGTGAAGTGAAAGCTTGCAGATCTGCACAGGGGCTGGCACAGCCAAGGCTGACCCTTGTGCTGGGGCAGTTCTGCTCTCCAAGCTGCACTCCTATCTCCTGAAAGTCTGGCTTTGGTTTGGAGGGCAGAACTCCTTGTCCAGCACCCTCCCCACACCAGTCCTGCCACCTTCAAAGCACCCAAAAACTCCCAGCCATCACTCCCTGCCTGCAAAGCAGCCAGCCCAAGGTTGGCAGAGCTCCATCTGCCCTCGTTCAGCCAGACAGAGACAATGAGTTCTGGTCTAGCTGGACTCCGTGTCACCAGTCAGATCATCTCCATGCCTTTGCCTGGTTTTCCCACCATTTCAAAGAGGAAAAAAGAATAATGAAGGGCATTGATGGCACCTATGGTAACACAGCCCAAGCTGGAGGCAGCAGGAGCCCGTGGTGGATGGGGAGACCCAGCCCTGATCCCAGTGTGTTCATCCCCAAGCCGAGCCCAGCACAGGGGCCCCACCAACATCCCTCAAAAAACTGGAAATATGGGCTTGGTTTGGAGCACGGCTGTCAGTTCACACCCTTGTTTCTCCAGACTAATTTGCTGGTTTCATGAAATCCATTCCCCACTGTTTTCACACTTCTCTCCCTCTCTATTTATAGCTGGGTTTATTTACATGAGCAGGGCACTCCTTGTACTCGCACGTCAGGCTGTGGTGGCAGAGCCGGGAGCGGGTGAAGGAATGGGTGGCAAGGCAAGGAGCATGCCAGTCCCTGGCCATGGGCACCGCCTGCCCAGCCCGTGGGAGGCAGGCAGGCAGCCCTCCATGCCACGGGGATGAGCCGGAGCCAAATCAGCCGCTGGAACCAACCAGACCCACACAAATGTCTCGTCCCCATCTCCACAGGGCACAGCACTGCAGTTCCCATGGGGTGCAGGTCACCCTGCAGCTGGCACCTTCCTGCCCCACATTCCCAGCTGGAGCTGCTCTTGCAGCAGCGTTTTGCTGACCTGAGCTCTACCTGTGTGTTGTGCTACTGACCCAGGCATGCCCTCGCCCTCCACACAGGCACGGCCAGCAGAGCCCACCGTGCCCAGCTGGGTCACTGACAACTGCCCAGTGATAATTCCACTGCTCTGTCTAACAAGAGGGATATAAAAATGTGTTGTTTTTAAAAGGAAACAGCTCTGACAGATGAGGCAGGAGTTCTCAGATTAGCAGAGACCTGGGGGATGCAGCTCTCCCCATCACACACATTCATCTGGGAGAGATGCAGCCCTGGCTGAGCCCTGCTGCCATCTCCCTGAGACTTGGCTCTCAGCATCAGGGACAGAGGTTTTGGATTGGGAAACGGCACAAGAAAAGTGGGAATGAGCTACAACTCAGGCTGGAAACCCAGGGAATTCCAGCACTTGTAGCAGCGAGGATCTGGAGCAGACTTTGTATGGGGCAGCAAAAATACTCGACACTGGAGAGGGGCTGACCTGAAAATGGGACTTGCCAGGCTGTGGATTGCTGCTTCTCTCCCTCTAGCTCCTCGCTGCTGGTGACCAGTCCAGGAAAGCAGGAATCTGGACCCAGCTGCTTCCCACCTGGCCGAGGGATGCTCCAACCCACACGGGGCTGAGTCTCCCTGCACAAGTACATGATTATTCACAGCCTCCAGCATTTGCATGGTGGAGTCACGAGTCTCACAACACCTGATCTCCCGGGAGAGCTGCCTCCTGCACTTGGGAGGGAACGGCCCACATTCCCAAAGTGGGACTTGGTGTCTCACAGCATCCCACGTGGCCCAGCTGTCACCTCCTCCCCTCTCTGTGCAGGGACCAGGGGAGCCCACCCCATCCCTGCCACCTCAGCGAGGAGGAGCAGCAGGGCAGGGCCCGCAGGAGCGCGGAGAACTCGGAGCTGAGCCTGGAAGGGCTGTGCCAGCCCGTAGCGCCGCTGCGTGCACAGCGAGCCGGCTCCT